AGACCATCGCTGGCCACTTAAAGAACGGAGTGGCTGGTAATTAACGCCGTGAGGCAATTGGCCGAGAGAGAGCCATGCGAGGGGGCAGGAGGTGTGGAGAGAGAGTGATAGGTGGGTCGGGTTTCTCACATGGCTTTTTTTTTTTTTTTACTTTTTTCTGAGGCCCGCTCTCAGCGCAGTTACTATGACGACAGACCCTGAGTGCACTGAATGTGGTCAGGACAGTTTGTAAAGCTGAGCAAGAGAATTAGATAGAAATAGAGAGAAAAAGAGGGAGAGAGGGAGAAAAAGAGAGAGAGAGGGAGCGAGACAAACAATAAGGCACAGGAAAAGGAACAGACTAACAGTGAAAAAGAAAAAGAAAGACAGGAAGAAGGACAGACTGGAGGAGAGAGAGAGAGAAAGACAGGAGAAGAGGAACAGGGAGAGAAAAAAGAAAGACAGGAAGAAGGAGAGAGTAAGAGAAAGAAATAAAAGAGAAAGAAAGACAGGAAGTGGGACATAATAAGAGAAAGAAAGAGAAAGGGAAATGGAGAAAGAAAAACAGGAAGTGGGACAGATTAAAAGAGAAAAAAGACAAGAAAAAGGACAGATTAAAAGAGAGAAAGACAGGAAGAAGGACAGACTGCAGGGGGGGAGAGAGAGAGAAAGATAGGAGAAGAGGAACAGGGAGACAAAAAAGAAAGACAGAAGGGGAAGAAAGAAACAGGAAGAGGGACAGACTAAAAGAAAGAAAGCAAGAGAAAGAGAAAAAAGAGAAAGAAAAACAGGAAGAGGGCCAGATTAAAAGAGTGAAAGAGATCGAACCAGAGAAAAAAGAGACAAGAAGGACAGATTAAAAGAAAGAAAAAGATCAAAAGAGAGAAAAAAGAGAAGGGAAGAAAGAAAAGATTAAGAGAGACAGAGAGAGAAAGAGAGGAAGAAAGGATAAAAGGAGATAAAAGAGATAAAAGGAGAGAGACAGAAAGAGGGACAGAATAAGGAAAAGAAATAGAGCAAAAGTGAAAAAAGAGAAAAGAAGATGGATAGATAAAGAGAGAAAAAGGGGCAGGAAGAGGAACAGACTAAGAGAAAGAAAGAGAGAAAGAAAAAAGAGAAGTAAGGACAGATTAAACGAAAGAAAAAGATCAAAAGAGAGAAAAAAGAGAAGAGAAGAAGGACAGATTAAGAGAGAAAGGAGAAAGAGAGATAAAAGGAGAGAGACTGAAAGACGGACAGGCTAAGAGAGAAAAACAGAAAGGAGAGAGTAAAAAAGAAAGAAACATAAAGAAGAACAGACCAACAGAGAAAAAAGGAGGAAGAGAGAACATGACAAAGCAGAAAGAGACAGAAAGAGCAAGTGAAAGAATGTATTTTGTCTAGGGCATCTGAAATGCACAGAGATCTGAATCAACAAGTCTGCTGAAAAGGCCTGGCTCAGCTCACTGCATCACCTGCATTAGCTGACTGATTAGTGCCGCTTAGCCGAGCTACAGTATCCTTCAAAACCCTTAGCGGCTATTGAGATTCAAATGTAACAGAAGACGGATGATTCATCTGCCTATTTATACCTGTTAGCATATAGCACATGAATCAAAAGGAGCTAAAATCTGCAGCATTTGACTGGACAGTGGTTTGATCCAACTATGACATCAGTGTCAGCATTAAAATTGATACTTCATGTTTTGTGAGTTTCCATACCTGATAGAAAGAAAAGCCAGACTTATAACATAAGTTCACTGTGTCATTTAGCCCAAACTCATATTGGGCCACGCCAACCCTGCAAATATGACACTATGCAGACATTCATGCAACATTCTGCATAAAGTGGAATTTGATGCAATACTGATACCCTTCATAAGAAATATGCTAAAGGCCATCTCTTACTTTTACTTTACTTTTCTCCATTTTTATAGATAGCAGTACATCATAAAGTGCTTATTTGAGATTACTAAACAACTTGACTCGACTTTGAGTCGAGTGTATGATGATTTGAGACTCGTTTGGTAATATGAATGGTTTGGACAATGAGCAGCTAGCTTCTATTAACGTTATAGCCACATTAGCCTCATAACTCCAGCACAAAGCCAAAGACACAAAAAATGTTTTGGTTGCTTGACAATGCTTTGGGTAAAATTTTAGCGAAAATGTGAATTTTATTTTTAGTCCAACTGTGCTTTAAGAGCAGTGCTTTCTCTCTCATTATGCTAACCTGTATTAGCTGTATGTGCTGTCAACAGAACTGTACACATCAATAGAAGGTCAGTGAAGAGTAATCCCAGCAGGCAATCACAGTACGTGGAGCTCTCAGAGACAGACAGATAGATTTTCTCTGGTTCAGTGGCTCGGAAGCCGAAGCAGATTGTTTTGAAACAAGCGCTCGCTCTCTCTCTTTTTTTTGTCTCTTTTTTGTCTCTCTCAATAGGACATTGTATATCTGAGCGTCGCTGCAGTTCATGTTGTTCAGACAAGTTTGACACAATGCAGGTCAATGGCAGAGCACATCCAACAGGCAGAGACACATTAGAGCACACTGAGCGCTGAACCACAGCTCTGGAAGCCTATTACAAGCCTCAGTGAGCGCTGCTAGAACACAGCAGCTGGCTGACTCAGGTGTGTGCGAGAGGGAGAGAGGAACTGAAGCAGAGAAAAGGAAAGGCTGGTATTGAGATGGTGGGACAGGAAGGGTCAGAGGCTGCTTTTCTGCAGACAGCGGCCTACTTTGCCATTATATTGCTTTCTGTGGCATTTGTTGGATATTTTATCGGCTTTGTGGGGTTGTTTATACACAGTGGCTGGAAGGCTGCTACTGTACTATAGTTTTGAAGCACAGTTAAGCTGTGCTTGCCAAAAAACTTTGGCTTTTAGATATAGTTGGGGTCTGATTATAGACATGCCACCATATGTTTGTTGTATTTTCAGTGCATATTGCTGCTGTCCAAGAGAATCACCTCTCACCCCTCGCTGTAACAACCAAGCTGAAACCCATCGTAATTAAAATGAAGCCTCTGAGGCAAAGCCGTATGAAACTTGGTATGACAGCCATATGCTACCATTCGAAAGTTTGGAGACACTTGTTATATTAATACAAATATCAATTCAACAAGAATTGCGACATTGTATGAAATGCAAACAAAAACAGAAAAATAAGTTGTAAATCCACTTTGACCTGTATTTAAATGAAAACAGTACAACGACAAGATATTTCATGTTTTACTTTATCAGCTTCATTGTGTTTGTAAATATATGCTCATCTGAAATTGTGCAACACATCCCAAAAAATTGCAGGGGGGCAAAATTAGGATCGTTCCGAAACATTCAATCATCTTAAACAAGCGATGCAGCCGTGTTTGGGTATAAAAGGAGCATCTAGGATACATCTTGTCCTTTATGAACAAGAATGAGTCGAGGCTCGGTACTTTGCCAAACATTCATCAGCAAGTAATTCAGCAGTTTAAGAACAATGTTCTTCAATGAGCGATTGCAAGAAAGGTATTTTGCCCTCTGTGGTGCATAACATTATCAAAAGATTCCAAAAAATCTCTGTGTGTAAAGGGCAAGGCCGAAAATCACAACTGAATGACTGCGACCTTCGATCCCTCAGGTGGCACTGCATTAAAAACATGCTTTTGTGATGGATATCACTGTATGGGCTCTGGAAGAAAATCCACTGTCAATAAAGTTACAACTGTACTATGCACAGTGGAAGCCATATGTCACCAACATCAAGAAAGGCAACTGATTTGAAAGGCAACTGTGCTCCATCTTCTTTGTTCTCTGAGCCAAAGAAGAAAGGACCATCCAGACAGTTACCAGGGTAAAGTTCAAAGAAAGAGTCTGTCATGGTATTAGTGCCCATGGCATGGGTAACTTGCACATCTGCAGAGGAATCAGCGATGCTGAAAGATATGTCAGGGACATGCATACTTATTTCAGCATGACAGTGCCGAGCCATATGCAATCCTGCATATGTTACAACAGCATGACTGTGTAATCAGAGAGTGCTAAACTGGTCTGCCTGCAGTCCAGACGTGTCTCAAATTGCAGCATTATGAAGCGCAAAACACAACAGCGAAGGCCCCGTATGGTTCCGCAGCTGAAGACTTGGAAGAATGGAAAAATGGCAAAACTGTAACACAGTGGTAAACATGCTCCTGTTCCAGCTTTTTTGGGATGTGTTGCAGGCATAAAATGGAATGAGCATATTGCTGCTGTCAGAACAAAACCTTGTAGTTCCAAAATGACAACAGAAGAAGGAAAAAACATGCTTTACTTTTAATGTAAGTCAATGGAACCAGACATTTTTCCAAGTAATTTTGTTTGGTCCATTCATCATTAAATTAACATACAATGTAAAGGACAACAGGCATTTTCAAATTATGTCAAGAACTGAAAAATGGCAAAAATGCAGATATGAGGTTTTGTTCTGACAGCAGTGACATATTTATGAAAAAACGTCCATAAGGTAAAACATTAAAAATCATGTTTTCAATTTAATACAGGTCAAACAGAATTTACTAATAACTGCTTTCTGTTTTCTTAACATTTCACATACTGTCCCAACTTTTTTGTGATTGACGTTTGACATTTTGGTTATTTAATATAAACTCATTGGCCACTACATCCAAATGTTGTGAATATGACAACACAACCATAACCACAAGCCAGAGAAAGTGAAAATGCTGATCTTCTCAGTTAAAAAAACAGGATTCTATAAAAATTAGTCACGATTTAAACTGCAGTCATGATGCTGGTCAAAAAAATTGCAATTAGATATTTTCCCCAGTAATTCAGCCCACAGTAGCATATGCTATAAGATCAACTCTTCTCTCCCTGTGGTTATAAATATGGTAATGGCCGGTGTGTGTTTGGAGTCCTGTCGCAGCGTGAAGGCATGAGTGAGTTCCGTACCACGGGTCACGTCTGTGTGTGCCTGCCAGCTTTCTAATGAGCGACAGATTGTGACAGAGCTTTCTGGGAGCCACTACAGTTAATGACCTGTGTGTGTTTTTGCTCCACAGCCGCAGACAGATGCAGTTGTTTGCATGGTGGGACGTGTCTACCGGATGGAGAAGGCTTCCGCTGCTTCTGCCCACAGGGCTACACGGGAGAGAGCTGTGAGATTGGTGAGTTTCTGCATTCAGCTGTAAACATCCTACACAACACATATACACCATACACACACACACTGCAGCCACAGCTGTAAACATGCTCTGTGTACATTATATGTTGGCTTCATTTCTTGTTTCATAACATGCATGTTCCACACTATACAGTATCCTGTATGCTATGCTATGATATGTATAGTATGTACCAGGGCTGAAAGTGATTAACCATTAACCAATAAGTAAACAATGGTTTGACCAGTGTTATCAGTTACAAAAACATTTAATTTAATTTCCTTTCTGATAAACATGAGTTCCTGTCTGAATATGCGGGTTTAGCATTCATATTGAGGAAAATTCTTTAAATTGTATGCAAGGCACAGTAGGTGACTGGATCCACTAGGTAGGCTGAGAGGCCTAAGAAAAAATGACACATGCAGCTAAAAATAGTGATGTTTACAGTGATGTATCATATCAAAAGCAAAGATAAAAGACAACAGTTTGGTCCATGTTCTCCAAGAAAAATGTGATGCATGTTGGTGTGAGGAAATCACACACTGGGGTGTAAATCATAGAAAAGAACCTGGTGTATGGTGGTGACCTTCGAGAGCTACTGAGATACACTGAGCCAAAGCCGCCCTGGTCCTGTCATTTATTTTTGTTTAACTTGTTGTAATGAGACATAACTTCAGCTTTTTAGTCATATCATCATGAACACATTATAGTTGTCAACCTCTTAGTTTAAACAAAACCACGTTCTTATGTAGAGTGTATTTAACACTGTACTGGGCCATTTACGTCATATACATATGCTTATGCCTGGCCCCACTTATCAGTACTACGATCTACCTTCCATACAAGGGGAACATATCTCAATGCATTAATACAGAATTCAGTTAATGTGTGCACATTTAAGTTTGCATATCACATTATTTTACAATTGCTTTGAATCAGACTGCAGAACTGGAACTATCAGTTTTGTAATTGATATTTTGATGGCTTGCCAGTTACTAATAACGGTTGGTTATTGGTCAAAAGAATTTGCTGTAATTTTTGCAACCCTACTGCATACTGTAGTATGCAATACTACATATGAGTCACATACTACAGGATGACATGTGTATTGTACATGCTGCAGTATGCAATATATATGTGTGTAATATGCATGTTATATTCTATAGCAGGGGTCGGCAACCCAAATGTTAAGAAGAGCTGTTTTGTCCTTTTAATAATTTAGGACCATTTATTGTTAAAACTGTGTCAGAACGATCAGCAGAGATTTATTTTACTGCAAAGGAAGATTATTTTATTTTTACCTAAAAATCTAATTTTGCTGTGGAGCTGCAGCAGGGTGGTAAAAGAGCCACATGTTGCTGGCCCCTGCACTATAGTAAGAAATGTTTGTTATATAATACAGTAGGCAGTGTTTATGTGTGCAATGTATATGTTACATACCACAGTATGTGACTTTACATACTCCAACATTAACATGTGTATGTTACAGACTATAATATGCAGTGATCATGCATACAGTGTATCACTGTGTCAGAGAAATCCAAATAATCCTCCCTAATAGTTTCTGGTGAGCAGTGGTTTTTTGGTCAGAAACTAACCATTAATGAATGGGCAGCTGACAAATTGTACCGGACAACAGACGGGATAAGCAACTGTGAATGTACATACTACATAATAAACTTGCGCCTACACTGACAAAAATGATTCATTAAATTGGCATAAATGTAATATATTACTTATGGTGCATAATTATTGACAAAACTGAACTAACAAGTTTACAGACAATGTTACATTGATGTAATACAGGGAATATACATGTAAACAGTGCATCATTTTTTAGAGAACATGCTGCATTCACATTACATTCTATAATGTATATTTCATAGTGAATTCACATGTTGTGCTACATAGTGCACCACACCATACAGTCTACACAATGCAGTACTTTTCAGTTCCTCCCCAAGAACAGAACACAGTATAAACATCTTCATCGGGTTCTAACTCTTTTACACCCGGCAGTTCCGTCATGGAAAGGCTGCTGTATTTGAAGGCTCTGCCTTTTGGAGAGTTGTCTGAGCTTTCAGTGGCCTCTTTGCTGCAGTTATTTACAACTCCGTCTGAGTCTCTGTGCCATCAGGAATAAATCAGACTGCGTTTGTCTGGCAGATACTGAACACTCTCCTCCTTCACTTCAGCGAACGTGCTGCATTGAAATGATGGGCGATGCAATTTACTGTGCTCTACCTCTCGAGAAACAGCATTTGTTAAAGAAATCTGTGCAAGTCTGTCCTTTGGCATCTGTCTGCTGGGAAGTGCATTCATAACAGTGTCTTTTGCAGTTAACTCAAAGCTGTGTAAATGTACACACTGAGTCATTGTGAGCTGTGGCAGGTCAGGAGGCGTTTCAGTAAGGCATTTTCAGGCCGCTTGCCCCCAGGATTTTCGGTACGTTTGGCCAGGAGCATTCCAGAGAACTGATCCATGCTTGTCCTGAAAATGATGGTCTGTGATTCGCTTCACAAATCACAGTCATAGCCGGATTAACCGTAAACACTGTATAGGCTCCAGCCGAGGGCCTCACAAGCACAAGGATCCTGTCATTAGTGGGTTAAAAAAAGAAGTTAAAATCTTGACCTACATTTCATGAGCTCAAATATGTTCATTTTGTATTAGGGTATATTTTTTGTTTATGCAGAATTCCCAACTTTTGCACTTTTGGGTTTTTCCTTAAGCTCTAAACTGAAATCTCACAGCAGTGAAAGGTCAACTGACTTACATGCTCGGAATAAGGATGCACTGAAATTTTGGCCACCAAAACACTGCTCCCAAAAATGGCACTTGCGGCAAAAAAGGTAGCCAAAAAAAAGACCTCAAAACATTAAAGGGGTTTACAATGAAGTGTCACTTAACAAATCATTTTAATGGTAATGAAAACAAGAAACAGTGTTTAAAAACGCTGTACCTTTCACTGTCCTTCACTGGTCAGTGCAGACACATTTGAACAGTTTGAGCATCAGCAAAGTCTCTGTGAACAAGCTGGGTGGTGCCAGCATGTTGGCTCTTTTCTCAGCTCCAGTATCTCACTCCAGTCTCACTCAAGCCACCACAAAATCTCACTCCAGCCACCTGAAAATCCTACTCCAATCTCACTCCAGCCACCTGAAAATTTCAGTCCAGTCTCAAACCAGCCACCTGAAAACCTCACCCCAGTTTTACACCAATCAACTGAATATCTCACTCCAGTCTCAAACCAGCCATCTGAAAATCTCACTCTAGTCTCACTCCAGCCACCTGAAAATCTCACTTCAGTCTCACTCCAGCCACCTGAAAATCTCTTTCCAGCCACCTGAAAATCCCACACAAGTCTCACTCCAGCCACCTGAAAATCCCACTCCACTCTCACTCCAGCCACCTGAAAATCCCATTCCAGTCTCACTCCAGCCACCTGAAAATCCTACTCCAGTCTCACTTCAGCCACCTGAAAATCCCACTCCAGTCACCTCACCACAGTTGGCAACTCTATATGCTATCATAATCTTTTATATAGCACATATAAATTGCCTCAAAGTGTTTTATAGCCTAGTGCCAGAAAATGGCTTAATCAGGCCCTGTACACAGTGTGTGTAAAAGCTATCTGCTCCTAGTGCGGCGTGTCACATAGCGTGATTGGTTCATTTTGTCAGGTTAGTTCCCGTTTCAAGTTTTGTAATGGTGAAAAAAAGATGTGGAAAATGATGTGCATGTTTGCACTGAGAGTTTCGCAAAAAATATGCACATCTCATGCTGTCCTACATTCCTGCAAGAGGACATGCCACAAATCCAGTAACTGCTGTTTGAATATCAGTAACCTACTGAATGATAATAATGGTACAGTCGTGTGCCAAAGCACCCCTGGTCAAATGACATGCTTTGTCGATTTCCAGAGTGAAAATATGTTCAGGTCATCTTCAGAGAACACACAGCACAATTTAATGCATAATTACTGTTTATTCACTGAATGTAACATATTAGAAAAACTAAAACATAAAATGTTTGTGCAAAAGTTATGGCACATTAAATATGTTATGAATTATTTCTTTTTCGAGATGTTGAACTCGAACAAATAGAACTTGTACAATAAAATGTATAGGAAATGCCTTATTTAAGGTAAGTTATAATTATTTGTTCCTTGTAGAGAATGTTTTCACCTATTTTCACTTCAATAAAACCTAATTTGACTGGGTATGTTCAAAAAATTTGCACGACTTTATGAGACCGTTGTCAGCTGCCATCCATTTTGCAAAAACGTCTGCACAAATGTGACAAGTCTCCTGTGTGGAAAACAAACCTGCAATCAAACCTGTTCTTGACTGAACCTCTGCAGTGAATATCATTCCTCAATCAACTCATATTCCATCTTACGGCAAGCAAAATGGAATGACGTAATCTACGGAAATATTTCACACAAAATGATGACCAGTAATTATATTAAACAATAAACAAATATTAAACCCCACACATTTTCCTTTTTAATTCATAACAATATAAAAATCATATTTTGATCCTGTTCATTTAAAAGTGTAGATATTTGAATAATAAATGGTTAAAACATCTGTCGCCAGTTTCAGTCAAGCCCTGAAAACACGTTTGGTAAAAGTAGCCTCTGGGTCATTGTTAACAAATTCATATAGAAAATGAGCAGGACATACCCCAGCTGCAGCAAGGACAAGGGTCAATACCCAGGGCATTACTGAGGTCAGAGGTCAAGTAGTCCATCATGGGAGAGACACAGAGATGGGCGTGGTGAGGTCAAGGGGTCAGAGTAGGCTATTGTCCCTGTTTCTCTCGTTCTGCGCACTTTTATTCTTTAATTCTTTGCAATCAATCTTAATGTTCTGACTCCTTTTGTTAAGCTGTGTACATCAAGGTCAGTTTTAGGATTAGAGAACAATTCAATTTGCGATTATGTTGTAAGTAGCAAGATGCTTTAACGTCTTAAACGGCAGGCTTATTAATCACTTATCAAT